CTCCTTTTCCCTGGGATCTCTTAAAACAAAGTCAACTAAAAGAAGGTTTTAAAAGAAACAGACCAGAACACAAATGAACTCAGCAGAGCATAAAAACAGCCAAAGGAATGAAGCAATTATTTTTAAAGACTTCAAAGGTGTTATATAGGAAAAACTGAAAACATGCAACACAAAGACAGTCGATTTCAGAATGTTTGCAGAAGTATCTACAAAAAGGGCTGAAGTAGCAAAATAAAATAAAATAAAATCCATTAGTTAAAAAAAACCAACACTGCAATCTATTAATGTTTACTTAGAAATAAATCTCAGGGTGCCCTAATAAGTGATAAGGATTGCCAACAAAGAAATAAAAGTTTAAGCTAAGGAAGTTTTTCCAAAGAAAACCTCTGTTTGTTTATGCATTTTAACTGAGTATGTTCCAAGACATTTTTACCAACAATAATACCCATTTAGAAGGTACAGATAACTACTCAGGATTATCATTCTATAGGCTAAAATTGTGGGGGGGGGGGGGGTTTCAAACTCCCAATCTTGAGGAAGGAATCCATTTCCAAAGCCATTACATGGAAGATGAATTCTGTAAGATGCCAAAGAAAACTTATGTAAGAAAAGATTCTGTGTATAAATTCTGGGAAATTGGCATTTCCCAGGAAATGAGTATCCTAATCCTCCAATGCTTTGCTGTTATGCTCAATGATAGTTGGAAGCTGATGGGAACCATAAATGAAAAGTTTTCCTGGAATGTTGGTCCATCACATTTTAATTTATGGTGTTGAGGAAATATAGGGGTCTGCAGAATATTGTATGAAAGTAACTGGGTAAAAAATATATATAATACCATGCCCGCGTTTCTGATTCAGTTTATAACAAATAAGTTATGATTTCCATACCTATTGCTTTTTTTACACTAAGAAGATAGTCCTCTCTCATTTCATCTGAGAGTGTGTAGATACTTTCACTGAGTACCTTCAAATGTTTGGGTACTAGAGCTAAGACATTTTCCAGCCATGAGTCGTCCATTGGGGCCACATGTTCTGTATCTATTCCATGGCGAATGTAATAGTAATATTTCTGCAAAATTAGAAAAGTACAGCAGTGGCATATAAAAGTGAGTTCCACTGAAAATCCACATTACGCCTGGCTGCAATTTTGCGGACTGGAACCCAAAGAATGAAATCGTTTGTGAATGTCAGTTATGCAAACAGTTATCAGGTATATGAGAAGAGTGAACCTGGCTTTGCATTCTGACTCTTTGTTTAATCTTAATGTCCGTTCCAACCCTCTCTTCCCTTTCAATCAAGAAATCATGACCTGATTTACCAAAATATCTTTTTCTATCGCAGCTGCAGCCTCTGATGTGCCAGGTTTTGCTTCTTCTATTGAAAAGGATTCTGGAATGTAGTCTGGTTGCCTACAAAACAAACATGACAATCTGTTAACAACATCCACCTTCAGCCATCAGTCTGCAAACTGATCTTGATTCAGATTTCTTTCAGAAAACAAGGGAATGTTACTAAAGCTTTAAAAATAAACATGCATCACAATGAGGAAGGAAAGCAGCTGTCAGCCTTCAAGATTTTTCTCCCTTTGCTTTGCATCTTTCGGCTGTCATAAGTAACGGGGGAGGAGGGGGGAATGGTTATGGGAAGTGAGCTGGAGCTGTTACAAACCAGAACTGTACAAACTGGGGGGGGTTACATTCTTGCTTAGGTTTCTATCCTATGCTATGCGCAGCTGCAACCCTTTATCAAAATATGTCAAGGTCAATGGACAGAGGCCTCATCACCACCTGGAGATGCCCACATGATGATATACACCACTTTTAATTGGATGAGCCAATTGAACTCTTGGGGGTGGGAACGTCGCCATTACTTTGTATATGTGATTTACGCGCCCATTTTCTCAGATTCAGAATTCTTTTGTTGCTACCACTTGATTTCCAGTAAAAGATATCTTTTCTCTGATTAATGGAGTCTAAGTATTTCTTTCTTGGATTTTGAATGGAGCACCAGCTGACAGCAGCTTTGTAATCCTATATTGCAAAAGAACTTACATGATGATATTAACTAGAGCGCTTCTGAAATTTTCCCGATCTTTTTTAATGTCAGGTCTTGATTTTGAACTTGATGGACCAGCCCCATGATCGCTCTCGGGAATCTCCTCTACCTTGCGTTTCTTGGGTCTCTGAGACAAATATTCTCCTTATGGAGGAAAAATGAGAAATTTTTAGGCGTTGGTTGGCAGAGGCTCAAATGTGCAATATGCCTATCAAATTGTACAACCAATTCCATCCTCTTTGAATGGAAGTTAAAGTACTTTATCATCTTTCTGAATTGTCTGTTTTGTCAACTGCATCAACAAGATCAAGGTGAAGATGTACAATTTCTTTAAACGCACAAACAACAAGAGGTCTGAAAAACTTAGCTGCCTATCAGAGACCTCCATTCAGGGTGGGATGCAAATATTTTTACTACTGGTTCTGTGGGCATGGCTAGGTGGGCATGGCCATGTGACTGAGTGGGCGTGGCTTCTTTTTTCTTTTTTTGGCAGCAAAAAAAATGGAACGCAGGGGGTGGTGTGCTGCGTGCCCCCCCCCCCCCTTGGCTCCATTTTGGCTTTCTGAGCTTCAGGGAAGCCTTCTTGGAGCAAAAACATCCTCCCAAGGGGCTTCCCCGAGGCCCAGGAGGCAAAAAAATGGAGCATGGGGGGGGGGGCTGTGCGACCCCCCCCCCCCCCACTCCTTTTTTTTTTTTTTTTTTTTTGCCTCCTGGACCTTAGGGAAACCTCCTGGGAGGTCGTTTTTGCTCCAAGAAGGCTTCCCTGAGGCCCAGGAGGCCAAAATGGAGCCAGGGGGGCTGCGCAGCACATACACGCTCCATTTTGCCTCCTGAGCCTCAGGGAAGCCTCCTGGGAGGCCTTCTAAGAAGGCTTCCCTGAGGCCCAGGAGGCAAAAAAAACCAGAGTGCGAGGGCGTGCAGCACCTCTCCCACACCCCTTTTGGCCTCCTGGGCCTCAGGGAAGCCTCCTAGGTGAAGCAGTAAGACAGCAAGAGGGATCCGGCACAGCCTATCTTTGGAACAGCTGATCGTCAGGAGGAAAAAAAAGAAATACCATAAGGAGTGACTGGGCGGGATGGGGCAGGCAGGAGAGAATGCAATCAGCGATGTGTGTGATGTCGCGCATGCATAATAAGGACTGACTGGGCGGGGAGGGGAGGGGCCAGCCAGGCACACAATTTGTCAGTTCTCCGAACTGGGCAGAATCATAACAACCGGTTCTATAGAACCGGTCTGAATCAGTAGAATCCCACCCCTGCCTCCACTCATGTGATATCCTAAGTCCTGGCCTCTAAAAAACAAATTAAATTCATTTTTTCATCAGAGGAAGAAACAATGTTGCTGGCAGCAGAGATAAAGGACCCATCAGATTGCAAAGAAAGAGGGACTTCATCTTTTTGTAGTCTGAAGATGGAGGAGTAGGGAGCAGTTAGAATAACAATGAACCAGGAAAGGAGAAGAACACAGGTGGAGAGCAGCGAAAATAGAGCCTTGCAGGAGACAGAATCCAGTTCTGCTGACAGCTTCCAACTGTGCAGAAATGGTTACAGCTCCTAAACTGTTATTTGACAAACTGCCTATCCTCAAGGACAGCTACCCATCCCACTCACAGGATAAGTCCTTTATTAAGAGTGATGTCTGATGGGATTCAGACAGCATGCCCTTTCCTGTAGCAGCAGCACCTACCCTTTAGAATCCCATATACACAGAGAGAGAAACAGAAACAGTTGACCCACCCACGTGTATTTGATTAACCCCAAACCTTCTGTCCTTTAGGAAGACTCTAAAAACTTGTCTATTCCCCCTGGAACTGGGTACAGGATGAGCAAAAATCCCGTCAAGGGAGGATATGAATGTTAGCCAAGTTGCTCATCATTGTTTTTTTGTTTTTTTAATAGCCTTCTTGTAAGCTGTCACATTGCCCAAATTGGGCAACTGTTTATATTATTGAAATAAATAAGTAAGCAAGCAAATAAATAATGAGGTAAGGCTCTCAAAGTTAAGGCTCTCCTTTCAGATCCTAGAGACTTTGCTTCAAGCATTTATATTTGAGTCTGAATTTTTTTCTTTCCTTATCTCTCCTACAGCCCTTCCTAACAGTATCATAGAAGAGGTTATAATCTCCCTGGGGCAGAAGTACAACTTTGTGATGTGAAGGAGACTATCACCCAAGCAGGATATTAGGGTTAGAAAGGAGCACAATTATTTCCAGTTAATGATAATATTAAATGTGTTTTCAGCAAACCTATTCAACCAGTGTTCCCAACCTTAGCAACTTTAAAATGGGAGGAGTTCAGCATTCTGGGAATTGGGGTCCACTCATCTTACAGTTTCCAAATATGAGGAACACTACTTTACAGGTTTTCCTTCTCCTCCCCATTTTTTTTCTCTCACTCACAGACAACTTCCTCTGTTCACCACAAACACATACCACTACCACTCATGCACACAGATGTGAGATTTGGGTATTTTCATTGTCAGGTCTTGCAACATCAGTTTGTCCTGTTAAGTAAAATAAATTACTTTAATTAAATGATCAAATTTTCATTGGCTACTCTAAGAAAAAAGAAGAAAGGCATTCACGCTCAGGCTCAGCCATTTGTTGTGCCTCGTCCAATTCCTTTCTACACAAACTATTCTGCCTCATCACTACACAATTCCTTGAAAGCCCAGCCAGCCAAGTCAGTCTTCATCCATGAAATATTGCAAGAGAAGGGCCACCATATTTGGGCTACAAAAATAAGATGACCATTAGATCTCTTTCGTCCCATCTGGTGGTCATCCAGATGTTTGCGGCCCAGACATGGTCACTCTCTCCTCTATGGAAGAAAAACAAAGAGAAGAAAGGTGAATCCTCAATGCTCAACAAGACTTCTACCTTCCCTCATAGAGAAAAGAAACCATCAATGATATTTTATGAATAATCCTGGGTTTTATACAACTTCACTTCCACTCCAAACATCCAGGTTTATTCTTACCAGGTGTCAGCTCATTCCTTATCATGAACTGCTCTGGAACGTGAGCATCTTCCTGATCTCGCCGCAGATGGAACGAAGGCAGGTTCTGATGCCATAATGGTTTACAGCTGATCTGAAAAAACAGCCAGGATTTCTCAGCTGGCAGTCATGCTTGGTAAAATCTTTTTCAAAATGTTGCAAAGGAACAGCATAAGTTAATGAGTAAAAAATGGGGAGCATAATTCTTTTAATATTTAATGTGTTGAATCCAGATATAAAGATCTTATGAGACCAGTCTTATAAAGTAGGTAGTTCTCTTCAAAAAAAATTACACGGATTAGGTTCTGACCCAGTTACAATCACAGGCAACTGCTAATTGCACAATGAGTAAGTCCAATTTTCATACTTGCATCATAATTTATATTTTAAAAACAGAGAAATTCAGTATGTCTGATTTAATACTGTAACTTCAAATACACAGGGTCAATAAAGATTAGAAAATGTGTATATGTATAAATAAGAGTTTTGCACTCATTAAATGGCTGCACAACACCTTTTAGGTGCAACAAATGGGTATGCATGCAATTTAGATTTTGAAGTTTCTTTTCTATGCAATTCCTCACTTAGCAAAGGAAGAAAACGCTAGAATCATTTTGAATTTTCTCTCAAGTACAAATGTTTGCTTGGGGGTGGGGGCAGATATCTTATCAAAGTCATTACTATTGTTTTTCATTGGGTAAGGGTATCTTTCACCAGGAAGATGCTAGTAAGCATACTGCTGGGGGACCAACAGCCATCCTAGCCTGCATTACAAGATTGTTGTTAGGGTAGAAGATTGTCGTTAGGGTAGAATATGGGAAGGACCTTGTTGACTTACTTGATAGTTCTTGGAGGATAGTCTAGAAACATGGTGAGTAGATTAGCAATGTTAATGTGCATCATAGTAGGAACAGTAATGCTCATAATTTGCATGGTTTAAAGTGATTAGCTATCCTATACAGTATGTATAAATACCTTATTCGCTTGTGGAAAAAGTTTTGTTGTAATACTTTCCAACTTTCCTTTGTTGGGCAGCTTGGGCTGTAAGAGGGTCAAAACAGTAGACAGAACAAAATACACGTTTATTTCTCAATCTGAAACTTTAAAATATAGTGCAGACCACAATTATTAGAGAGTAAATTTCATTAAGACCCTTTTTCTGAATAAACATAGATAGGCTTGTACTGGTACTGATGACATGCTCTACATTGCTCCATCTTTTTCCCTATGTTCAGGGAACAGCAGAAGTACCTGCTCCACTTTCTATAAACTTGAACTACGAGATCTGGGCTGCAAAAATCCAGATGTTTGTTTGTTTGACTGATTGATTGATTGATTTCTATAGCTGCCCATCTCAGCAAAGGACTCTGAGTGGCTCACAATTCAAAAACATATATTACAATTAAAAACTTTAAAACATTTTAAAATAATAATTTTTTTACAATTAAAACACTAAAAAAAAACATTAACATTTGAGTATATACAAGACATTTCGCTGTTAACAATAAAGCTAGGAGGCAGGGCCCTTGGCATATGTAATGCCCCAGTCCAATGGACTATATAATGGATGCAGGCAGGGACCATTACAAGTAGTCCTTGACTTACAACAGTTCATTTAGTGACCATTCAAATTTACAACGGCACTGAAAAAAGTGACTTACGACCATTTTTCACACTTACGATCTTTGTAGAATCCCCATGATCACGTGATTAAAAATTCAGATGCTTTGCAACTGGTTCATATGACCGTTATGCTATTTCCCAAGGTCATGTGATCACCATTTGCAACGTTTTGACAAGCAAAATCAGTGGGGAAGCCAAATTCACTTAACAACCATGTTACTAAACTTAATCAACTGCAATGATTCACTTAACAACTGTGGCACAAAAGATCGTAAAATGGGGCAAAACCCACTTAACAAATGTCTCACTTAACAGAAATTTTGGTTCAATTGTGGATCACGAGAACTACCTGTATATATTACCATTATACCTTAGCCAAGGTACATAGAAACCTCATTGTCAATTCATTAAACATTTCTATGCTTGTTTTAGAGTTTCCATGAACAGAGGGGCGGGGGGAGAAATTTGAAAGAGCAGTGCAGCAGTTTGGAACCAAAAGTGCATTCCACTCTTATTTTGCAAAGATTATAACTAAGCTACCAAAATTTATGCTGTGCAAATCTCTAATTGGAGAATGTGATTGATGTCTCTTGGGTATGAATGTGTTTTGTTGGAGAATATGAATTATGATATACCCAGAGGGGTGGGGGGAAACCATCCATGTGGGTTAAGTAATTTATGAAAATGATCAATTTAAACCAACCATAAAAAAAGGAACCAGCGTTGACCAAAATAAATTTTTTTAATATGCTTGGCAGGATTGTTGCCTTGTAAGCATTTTGCTTGTGAAAATCCCCTCTACTTAAACGTAATCCTGGGACCCTTCTGCTGGTTAGGAACTGCTAATTTATAAATCATTCAATTTTGGAAGACCCAACTGAGTACCAATCAATTCATCAAATGCAAATTTTAAACAAAGTCCTCTCTGTCTCTCAGGTCCACAGAAATAGATGTGAGTGTTCAATACAAACTGCATTCCAGATAACAACCCCAGCAATTTACACAATAAAAAACATATAACAAATAAGATGCAACAAGGCAACTAATTAGCAAAATCCATCATAGGCATAAAGTGCTTAAGGACCTGGGATGGATTTAGGGTTGTTTGAATTTTCAACCTTTCCCCCTTGGGTTCTACTCAGCCCTAGTTCTCCTTCTTCCACAGCTTTCATAGGCTCCCAGACTCAGAAACATTCACCCATTGAGGCATCTGTAGCCAATGTCAGATCCTATCCCCCTCCTTGTCAGAATCCTATTCATTCTTGGAGTGGGGAATTAAATAATCCTATCACTCCAACATCCAGTGGTAAGCAACTTTGTAGATTACAGCTCCCAGAACTCTTTGCCGCTGGCCAAGAAGGGTGAAGCACCTGGAATGTTGTGGTTCCAGTTATCTCAGGGGCGTACAACTCAGGGGCCATGTTGGCCCCACCCCCACCCAGTTTAGCAAAGGGGGGGAAAGTTCTGATATGATGATGCTGTGACGACACGAGTTTGACACCCTGAGTTATCTGTAGGACACCAGTTTGCCGGAACCTGATCCAAAGAACCACCTAGTCCTATTGCATCCTTATTTCATTGGACTAAGAAAAGGTATTCAATGTCTACATCAAGGGCCCCCAACCCTTGGACCATGGACTGTTAGGAACCAGGCTGAATAGCTGGAGGTGGACAGTGGGTGAGTGAAGCTTCATCTGTATTTGCAGCCGCTCCCCAGCGCTAGCATCTCCACCTCAGATCACCTAGATTCTCATAGGAGTGTAAAGACTACCGTAAACTGTGCATGTGAGGGATCTAGGTTGAGCGCTCCTCTTCCACTCCCCCAGTCTATGGAAAAATTGTCTTCCATAAAACCAGTCCCTTGTGCTGAAAAGCTTGGGAACTGCTGGTTTACTTCACAGGTTGATAGAGGGGAAAACACCTGGATCAATAGGATGGGGTCAAAAGCTGTATTCCAACAACATAAGGTAAAGGTAAAGGTTCTCCTCGCACATGTGTGCTAGTCATTTCCGGCTCTAGGGGGCAGTGCTCATCTTCGTTACAAAGCCGAAGACCCAGCGCTGTCCGAAGATGTCTCCCTAGTCATGTGGCCGGCATGACTAAATGCCGAAGGCACACGGAACACTGTTACCTTCCCACCAAAATGGTCCCTATTTTTATACTTGCATTTTTACCTGCTTTCGAACTGCTAGATTGGCAGAAGCTGGGACAAGTAACGGAAGCTTTGTTATGCGGCACTAAGGATTCGAACCACCGAACTGCCGACCTTTCTGATCGACAAGCTCAGTGTATTAGCCACTGAGCCACTGCGTCCCTTTTTCTAACAACATAGCAAGTGATTTTATGAAAAATGATGTGGGTTTTGAACTATCTTATTCTCTATTAAGTGTTTGTGCATTCCATGATTGTCGAAGAAAATCAATTTGGGTTTCCTGACTCCAAAACGCATCCCATTTTGATAACTTTCTTCCACACTATTCAACATGCCTTTCGGAAAAAGACTCTGGCATTGAAGATGCTATAAGGACAACAACACCCCTCCTTACAAACTATCTGCTTAAGTTTACATTTCAGAAACTAATTCAAAAATTATATGAACAGCTGCACAGAGGATTAGATTCCTTTTAAATGCATGACTTTAAAGGGCTCTGGCTGCATTTTTTGTTTTCCTCAAGGACGTCATCCTGCAATCAACTTCCCACTAATGAGACAAATATATGAAAGTCTCCTTCAACAAATATGGCTGCACCACCTGCTCCTTTCTCAAACAGCATGCATATTTAAGTAAATGTCACAGAGGAAAGGGGTAAAAAAAGCATTTCAAAAAAATAAATAATCCAGTCTATGTATTCTACACGAAACAGCACCCCCGCCAAAAAATCATGACTTCAAAGGAAAAAAAAATAACGCCTGCATATTCTAATGTAATACTAAAGAATAAAATCATTGAGCTAAGTTAAGGCATTTGGCACTACATTGGTGAAAGACTGCCCTCTGCTGTTGAAACTTAACATATGCATCCATTCCGACTTCAATTCCCAATAAAAGGCAATTCTTCTAAAGAGACGTTTATCATATACCCTCTTACTGGATTTTAGTTTCTAATTTTTAACAGATTTAAACAGTAGCTTACATCAGGGAGGAAAAATCATTATATGTCTTTCACTTTTACAACTATACTAAATAAATTCACTAGTCTCAAATTTATTTCAAGTTAAGACATCATTGAAGCAAATCAGGAGAGTAAAAACTGAGGAGAGGCAGGTAACAACCTGATGTTTTTGGCCAGGGGTGAGTTGCAACTAAGTAAGTAGCAATACAGCAATAGGCAGCTTTAGATGTTCATAATTAAAAACAAGGTTTTAAAATTTACTTTAAGTTTACATGATCCCATGACAGCTTTGCCATCCGTTGCCAAGAGGTCATTCTTCACAATTGCTCTATTTATGGTTTGCCATGAAAAATACACCGTCCTCCATAAAATGTGGCCCACAAGTCACGTGACCTGATGTGTTTTTTTCCCCCCAGGGCAAACAGTATTGTTTGTTTGTTTCCAAGCATCTTACATGGCCAAATGAAGTTGTCTTTACTTTAGTGGCCTAGTGATTTACCCAGAGGCTAAATCATGTTCCTTTTTTAATCTGTATTCCATCAGCAACAGAAGACACTTTCTTTGATGCAAGCAATTGATTCTCAGCTTCACTTCCTAAAATATATTTATATTTAAGCTTTTTTCCTATGGGGCTCTTGCTGCTGTCTTGAGTTGATCATTTTCTTGCAGATGTTTTACCATATTACCCAACTAGGTAACATCATCAATGCTAGAAGGGAATGGGGCTGCTCTTTTTTTATATATTATTGGCTTTCTCTATCAGTAAAACACGTTTATGTGAGTGTTGATTGTTGGGTCCAGTATTAATTGGTCTTAATTTCTGCTTAATCTCTGTTGTTTTGAACTTGACTTGGTCTCGGATGCTCAGTTTCCCAGTGCAACAGAGGGAGCCCAGCTTGCACACAGAATTTAAGCTTACATGGGCTATTCTTGATTAAGTTGAAAACCCTTTACCACTGTGGGGAACATACTACGGATCAAAGCGGAATTCACATGTGGACTCCTGAAGATAGTAGAGGAAATGGTGCAAGGCTTCCTAATACTACAGTGAAATGAGGGTGTATATCAGTGAGAAGGAAGTATAAATAAGGATTTCAAAGTCAGAAAAATGGGCCATCTGAAAAATCAACTGTCCATTTTTTAGAATGACTTCTGCTCTCAGATGCTTGACAATCTGATAGGCAGCAACACTTGGCTATTATTTTATCACCCTTGGTTGTTCATCACACACTTTTGTTCATCACACACTTTTCTACCTCGGCAAAATAATGCTTGGTGGCATAAAACCAAGGTATCAAAACCCACCCTTCAAGCCTTGGAGACTCCTGGATCGAGCGAAAAGCCATTGGAGGCAAGTAAATGTTCCGGTGTTGCAATTTTTCACAGTCCTTAACCAACTGCCCGGAGCTGTTGGAAAACTGCAGTGCTAAACATCTGCAGCCTCTTCCAAAGGTCTCTTCCCCAGAACCAGAACCCTTGTTCTCTCCTCCCCAGATCCCGGGAGAGGTTCCGAGGCAGGAAAGGGGGGGCGGGGGGGGGGGGGGGGAGGCGGTGTGTGTGTGACGAGTCGACCCTAAGGATTGTATTTGAAATGCGGCGGGAGAAGGGGAGCCCTTAGGAAGACGCAAGCCGGCAGGAGGGGGACCCCCTTTTCCCTCCCTCACCTGCTGGTTGCTCATGGCTGGAGAAGCGCCTGCTTGTCCCTAGGCTGAATACTAGAGGGGGGAAGGAAAAGGTCGATTAGGGTGGGTGGGGGAAGAGGAAGAGCGCCCGCCGCGTCGCGTCTCTTCTTGCTCTCCGGACGCCAGTCCCAAGCGGAGTTGTGTTGCAAGGGAAGCCCCGTAGCCTAGCAACACCGCAAACTCAAATCGCGCAATTGCCGCCCGGCGCTTCCCCGCCTTGAAGAACACCGAGGAATCACAACATTCTACTCGCATCCGTAAAGCCTAATTGGCCGGGAGAGAAAAGGGCGGGTCCTGGAGAACGACTCCCGCTACTGATAGGTGCTTTTTGGGGGAGTGGGGAGGGCAGGAGCCTGCAGTCGATTGATAGAACCGGAGGGTTAAAAATGCTCTCTGGAGAATTCGCTTGCCTAGCAAAACCGATAGACGGTCGATATCTGACGGATCGATATTTCAAAGCTTTCCCCGCCTGACTGTATTTTTGAAAATACCGTTTCGTCAAACGCGCTTCCTTGTGATTCGCCGTTAATTTTTACAGCATGCTTTTATTTTTCCTACACCGCTTCTAATGTGTCGCTTTAATTACTTAGCAGAATAACAGAATTGGAAGGAACCTTGGAGATCTTCTAGTCCAACCGCCTGCCCAAGCAGGAGACCCTATACAATTCCAGACGTATAGAAACTCCAGCGTTGAAGCACCCCAAAATTCTGGAGGGAAGCCTTTCCACTGGCCAATTGTTCTGTCAGGAAAAAATTCTTTAGTTCTAGGTTGAATCTCCTAGATAAGTTCCCATCAGTTATTTCTTGTCCTGCCCTGGAGTCCTTTGAAGAATAGGTTGTCCTCCTCTTCTTTGTGGCAGCCCCTTAAATATTGGAAGACTGCTACCATGTCGTCCCTGGTCCTGTAGTGACTTTGGGGAAAATGATAAATAAAACCGGACTTTTTTTTTTTTTTACATTAAGCAAAACTACAGTTAAGTGTGGGCAAATGTGTATTTGTGACCTCAAAAACATTTAGTAAACCAGAGCAATGATCTATAGAATTTCATGCTAGGAGAACCTAACTGGAAGGAGAGTTTAATTAAAAACATAATGGAAGGGCAATCATATGATCCCAGTGAAGGGTGGGGAAGAGAAGTCAAGAGAAGAAGCCAACTGTGATGCAGAAAGTGAACACATTTTTGTCAAGTTTGGGCATGAAATTAAAGCCTGCTGACCTTGAAGGAACTTAAATACCCAGAATGGGAAGGATTGCAGCCTAAAGAAAGAAATGGTTATCTGCACAAAAATAGCAGTCATAGAACATGAAACTGGAAACACCATAAAAACCATCTATTCTAAACTCTGTAATTTTCTGGAAAACTAATCTGTTCATCCATAAGGCAGCTTTCTGATATCTTCTTAAAAACTTTAAAGATGGCAAACCCATAACTTCTACAGTGAGACTGTTCCATTTTACAGTCAGGAAATGTATTAAACATTAAATAGCTGCAAATAATGCCAGATATTACCTATAGAAAACAGTTGTTGGCTGAATCTTTCCTGTAGATTCTTCTTATGAATCTGAAAAAAAAAAAAACATGGCTATCATTTCTCCCTTCAGTCTTGTTTGTTCTTGACTAAACATCCCAGATTCATTTTGCCTGTCCTCATTAGGCTTATCTTCAAGTATCTCTTATCACTTCTGATGACTTCTTCCAACCTAGCAATACCTTTTGGAAATGTGGTGCACAGAATAGTCATATAAATGTGTTCTCAGCAGAATCAAGTAGAAGGGAATAATGACCTCTTGTGTCTGTTATAACTAGCAGAGTTGCCATGAGAAGCACGGCAGAACTTGTGGGAATAGATCTAGTTGCAAAGTTTTGTAACTGGAAGGAGTCAGAAGCAATGGAAATAGGATCTTTGAGATGTTAAAATTAAGAGAGGTATAAGATGCTTTTTGTAGAGATCAAAGGAAGAAATAGGGGTTACTTTGTAGAAAGTGTTGGTCCTGCAGGGAGAACTCCTGCAGAGTTTGAAAAAGTATTACAAATGAGGTGAAAGTGAAAGCCTCCGACTTTACACACAAAAAGAGACATCCATAGATGTAGAAAAAAAGGTTTAGCCCTGGAGAAGGCAGTTTGAGGAGTTAAAGGAAATATGGGACAAAGCTTTCAAGTTAAAGGAGAGAATAAAAGACTCCTCATAAATAAGATGTAAAAGGAAGAAAGCATGGATCTTTCTTAGCTAACCCACTAAGATTCCACTTCCTGCAGCTACAAGAATACAGGAGGACAGATCAGCTAGCATGCTCAGCCAATGACAAGAAAGAGGGGCTGGCAAGATTCACCAGCAAACTGGGATCACTCAATCGATTTGATTAGGTGAGCTTACAGGGCCAAGAGACTAGAGCTGGACTGGATTCAGATGGACTAGGATAAAAAAAAAAGTTCCAATCCTTGAAAGATCAATATGCCAGAAAGAGAAGGGGAAAAAACACAGCTATTGTTGTTCTCTATGCAGAGACCTTGGGCATTTTGCAAGGGAGTGAGGACATTTGGTCTGACTGAATATGTATTGTGCTTTTGTAATATACAATATCTTTAAGGAAATTGCTCAGTTCATTGTGTAAGAATTGCTGTCTCTGAGCAAATCACTCAAGATTTAAAGTTAGATTCATTGCCATTAAGTTCAATAGCCGCAGTGGCTTACATTTATCCTTGTAGAGTGCTTCTTTTGGTTTCTTAATTCAAGGAATAAAATAAAACTGTTTATCTCTGTTCATAACTAGGGTTTTATATTTTTCTTATTGTCTCTGTGGAAGAAGGCATTTTCTACCATTACTAACCACCTCAGAAATACACTGGTAGGAGACTTGGTAGCATGGTCTTAAGTGGATTACACAGATCCACTTAAACTGAAGGGATCAGGATCAGCTACTGTACTATCTTAAAACAGGAGTTACCAATGGATTAAAATTGTTTTTATCAAAACATTGAGATTTTGCAAATTAAAAGAAAACCTTTAACTTGGAGTTTGAACTCATTGTTAACTAAGGTAGTAATTCTTTTGGCCACTAAGAGGCATCTGTTCCCTTTATAAAAAAAAAACCTGTTAAACAAATTTCACTGTTTACAGGGATATCCAGCATAGGGGAGTTTCCTGTTGGTGTGCAAATCAACTTCATGTAATTAATCACATTATTGTTTTCATTCATGAATATCCATTTAAAAAATCTCATATAAACAAAAGCATTATTTGAAAAGTTTTCCACCTATTAAAGCATTAGTAACATAATAACTTTTTGACTAATAGTTCTTTTAAGTTTCTGACTCCATTTTTACTCCACGTGACATGCAGAAAGCAGGCAAAATGAAGGAAACTCACTCTAGTATATAATTTTTATCATCCAATGTGATTGCAAAATTCTTCAGTTGAATATTAAAGGAGATGGCTGTCGTTGTCATTTTATAAAGAGAAACAGCTGGTAAAAGGCCTTGTTATGTAGCCCCTCCTCACCTGGGAAGGAGGTGGTGGATAAGCCTGACAAGAACAACTTTAATTTAATTGAGTTACCAATATGTGCTTTACAGCAGTGCTTTTCTTGGACATCCCAGAGTGTGGAGTGGTGCCAGACATGTGCTGCAATGAGAGGCCCCAGTGAAAGGCTCTTTGTCATGGGCGATAGCTGCAGGGCAATATAGACCTTTAACAAAAATATCATTGTGAACTTTGCTCATGAAGACAGAGTTGGGACTCACGTTATTATGGTGTCTAAGCCATTATTAAGATTTTGCATGACCTTTAAATCAGGCCACTCCAGTTGTTCAACTACTATGACCAAAAAAACATCACTTGGTGCAATGTGTAATCCTAGCCAACGTGTAGGTGTGACTTGGGTGGCCTAATTTTACTACAAAAATCTAAATGTATGTTTGCTCAAAAACACATCCCAAATGCAAAAGCAAACTAAAGGCTCGAAATTCCATGCACACTTACACCAGTTTAAGAAGTATTTTAGACTTCTTAAAGAAGTCTAAGTGAGAAAAGAAAGAGTGAGAAAGACAAAACTCTAGGGCTCCACATTTAAAGGGATTTCCATGTTATTACCCAGAAACCCCCAGATCTCCATTCACCAAAACAGCAGGTAAAGGTTTCAGCACAAAAGGATCCATTTTCAATTCTTCGTCTGAGATGGGCATGTTGTGATCCAAGTCAGCCTCAGCAATCATCAAAGCAACTTTATATCATTTCAACAATTATTTTTTTGGTCTGGACCTTTGAGTCATTTCTGTGTCTGTGTGTATGGTTTTTTTTTTTTTACTCCTGGTAACTGCTGGGACAAGTCCCTACAGTTTTCTTGCCAAGATTTTTCATAAGTGGTTTGCCATTGCCTTCTTCCAAGGGCTGATAGTGTTACTGCCCAAAGTCATCCAGCTGGTTTTAGGCAGGGCTAAAACTCACAATCACCTGGTTCTAGCTTGGTGCCTTAACCACTACACCAAACTAGCTCCCAGTTAAAATGTCACTCTTAAAAATATTTTATATTAAATTTATCATTTTTATTTCAAATACAAATCACTCTTTTCTAATAACAAATAGTGCTTATTCTTAGCATTTAATAGAGAAAGATTTCCCCAGCATTACCTTTATGTCCAAGGTCAGTTGTGCAACTGGCTCTGCTTGGTTACTGAGAAGATGCTTGTTGTCATCTTACTCCATGTCTTGTGTCACCTTAATCATGGTTGGTGGTTTCCTTGTGGTTATGCATGTCACCCAATTCTAGAGCAGCTGCCATTTCCCACTGATACTAAATTAACCCAGAATCAACAACTGTTATACTTTCAAATTATGGTGAGTGCAAAACTTGATGCTTTGTCTCAGGAAACCCATGACTGTGGTTAGGACACTGAGTAGGACAGAATAGTGGCAATGCACATACTGTCATTCCCCAACCCAGGTGACAAATGTATCCTTCAAATAATATCCAGAAAATGCTTCTAGAGAAAGCCCAA